ACTAAAGGAGTAGTTGGATGTCATCAAAGATATCCATGTCATTCTTTCTTCAGTCGAAAAGAAATTAAGGTTTTTGATGAAAACATTCCAGGATTTTTCTCCATATAATGGACTTCAATGGGAACCAAATGGTTCAAGGTCCAAAAGACAATTTCAGTGCAAACTGCAAACTGTTCAAAGGGCTTTAAATGATTCCAGACGATGAATAAGGGTCTTATCTAGCGAAACGATTGCTCATTTAACAACAACAAAAAAACAACAACAAAGTTTAAGTTTTATAACCTCAAATGGTCGCCTTGCTCTGTTCTGTGATGCACGTTTGTGACTCTCCTGTTCAAACTCGTTTAGTAAAATGAGTGAATCTTTTTTCGTGTCATTTGGTTCATTCAACGAACAAAATTAACGAATTGACTCGGGAAAAGATTCCTTCTTTCTGGCAAGCATTTGAGCTTATAAAACTTAAACTTTGTTATTTATTTATTAAATGAGCGATCGTTTCGCTTGATAAGACCCTTATTCATCGTCTGGTGTCCTTTAAAGCCCTTTGAACAGTTTGCAGGTTGCACTGAAACTGTCTTTTGGACCTTGAACCGTTTGGTTCCCATTGAAGTCCATTATATGGAGAACAATACTGGAATGTTTTCATAAAAAACCTTAATTTCTTTTCGACTGAAGAAAGAATTACATGAACATCTTGGATGACATGGGGGTGAGTAAATTATCAGCAAAAGTTTTTTTAGTCAATAACTGTATCACTTAAAACTCATCTTTGATCACCAAAATGACATATTTAAAGTTTTCTTAAAAAATCACGTCAAATACCGCTTTTTTGAGGCTGTCTTTGGTTCACTGCAGTTTTAAGGAGAAAATACTCTGCAATGGTGTCGACATATGAATTTACATATGGCTTGTCTTAAAGCATATTCAAAACATCTTAAGACCTATAAACAACATTAAAAAATTGGTTTTCACCACAGGGGGACTTTAAAATCAAGCATCAGTGTCTCAACTAAAATTTCACTTATAAATGAGAAAATTAATAAAACACGGCCTTAGGTTGTTTTATTCTTTTTCTCAAGTATAAGTTACTAGTGAAATTTTAGTCGAGATACTGATGTTTGCTTTTAGACTCCCCCGTTCACACCAAAAAGAATAACTATAACATTCTGTATATCATAAGCATGTGCTGCGATTATGTTGTCTGTCTTTGTAAAATGCTCAAGCTCTTTTAAGTAAGGTGGATTCTGATTGGCTGTCAGTGTTTATCAGCTAGGGACAAAAAATTAGTTTTGAAAGTGATTCCAATAGTATTCTTCCTTCTTGTTGTTATGGACTTCTATATTCTCATAGATTTAGAATGATTTATAGGTATCATTGAATGCCTACACACTGAAAACGAGATCTGAGTCCAAAGACCAGAATATGAAAATATGGGCGTATGCTGTTTGGCTATTAAGCCATCACATAAAGCAACCTAGCGCGTAACCACATAGCAATCTACTAAAATTGTATTCAGAATGTAATTTTAGGTGAAGCCATCTTGTATTGCACAGGAGAAAAAGACTCGATGATCTTCGACTGCACGGAGCGGTACGACCCAGTGACCAAGCAGTGGGCGGCAGTGGCGTCTCTGACCTATCCACGCTGTGGGGTTGGAGTCTGTTCCTGTCATGGAGCGCTTTATGCACTCGGTATGTAAATCGATACTCTTTCTGGCAGGGAGAGTGTTTGGTTTCACTATATCACCATGTGATTTGCATGAAGGCGTCTAGCAACATTCCTGTAGTTCAGCTTAGCTCTGGTAACTCCAAGGTCATGGGTTCCCTAGCAATGCATGAACTGATGAAAAATGCACACATTGGGGGATAAACGTGTCTGGCAAATGCATACATGTAAATGTTTATTGTTTCAGGAGGCTGGATTGGCTCGGAAATTGGGAAGACCATGGAACGATATGACCCAGAAGAAAACAAATGGGAGATTATTGGGAGCTTGGCTGTTCCTCGATATTACTTTGGCTGCTGTGAGCTGCAAGGTACGTCCTCATGGATGACTGAACCATATTGATGACCAACTTGAACATCCACTTTGTTTCATAAACCCATTTATTTGAAATAGTGAAGCATTAAATCACCATCAAATGAAATGGGAACACATTTACCTGGCTTAATTGTGCATGAGTCTTCACTTCTACTTCATACATCTCCTTTCATCAGAAAGGCTTTTCACTGTTCTCCACAGCAGGGTTAGCACAGCTTTTGTTCATTGCGATGTTAAACGTGCTTAGTGTGAAACGTTTGACACTCACCAACAGAAACCCAAACACGTGCTTCGGTCCGTCACAGAAACACTGCACATTGTATAACCAGAAGTTTCCGAGTTTGAGAGTAGAAATGTCAAATAATGATGGAAAAAAATGTGAATTGTGACATACATTTGTACTCAACATGCAAAGTGTTTAAAAGAACGGATAGAAAAGAATGATACATTCATAAACTGGACATAACTATAAAGTTTGGAAGCTTCTTTCCACCACAGAACTAATTGCGTCTTTTTATCTCACAATTTTGACTTTTTATCTCACAATTGCGATATAGTGTAAAGTCGCAATTGCGAGTTATAAAGTCAGAATTGTGTGATACAAAGTCGCAATTCTGATGGAAAAAGTCAGTTTATATCTCCCAATCTCACAATTCTGATGTAAATGTAAACCCACAATTGTGAGTTAAAGTCGCAATTATCTTTTAAAAAGCTTTACTCTGTGGTTAACACAATCGTCCATAACAAAGCACAGCAGTGATTACATATTTGTGTAGGAAGTTTGCGTCAGACTGGTTCCCTCGACAAAAACCCAATAAGATTTTTTTCCATTGGTTTTTGGATTATTGCCGAAAATAATTTCTGCGACGAACAAAATGTGTAAGAATCATAAACCTTTGTTAATGATAATCTTCACAAATGAACACAACTTTTATGAATTTCGAAGCTAAATACAATAGGCTGAAGCTAAACATAGGCTACACGACTGTTATATGACGTCACCGGCACCAAACTCTTTTTTAGTCAAAGCATTCTCCTTGAAAATTTGAGTTAGAACAGTTTACAAGAATTTTTTTTTTTTACATCACAATTACTGATATCGTAGAATAAAGCGTGAACCTATCAGGCTTTTAACCGAAATGTGTGTGGTGTGTAAATGTCCCAGGCTTCATCTATGTGATTGGTGGCATCAGTGATGAGGGAACGGAGCTGCGCTCGGCTGAGGTGTACGACCCAATCTCTCGCCGCTGGAGCGCCCTGCCTGTCATGGTGACCCGACGGGCGTACGTGGGCGTAGCCAGTCTCAATAACTGCATCTACGCTGTCGGAGGCTGGAACGAGGCCCTGGGCTCACTGGACACTGTGGAAAAGTATTGCCTTGAGGAGGTTAGGATTCCACGAAGTCTGGTTTATCAAGTCGACCCTTTATGCAAATGCTTCGCCTTTTAATGCGGTGTATGGCTCTGTTCTGTAGGAGAAATGGGTGGAGGTGGCGCCGATGGCCGTCCCGCGCGCTGGGGTCACAGTGGCGGCTGTTAATGGTTTGTTATATGCGGTGGGTGGTCGGACCACTAGCCGGGACTTTTCAGCACCGGTTACTGTAGACTCGGTGGAAATCTACGACCCGCACCTGGACACATGGACCGAGATCGGTAACATGATCACCAGCCGATGTGATGGAGGTGTAGCCGTGCTCTGATGTTCACAACCAGCAATATCACCCCACTCCACTCTAACTGATTTTACAGTTTAATTTATTACACTTTTTAAACGAGTTAATGAGGACACCTGGTATAGATCTAGTATATAAACCTGTGAACTTGAGAAGACATGTTTGGGAGTGAAGCATAAAGGTGTATCTTTTTTTATTTTTTTGTATGGAAGCTTGTTTTCGCCACAGAATAATACATTTTAAGAGATAATTGCAACTTTTTATCTCACTTTGTTTCTCAAAATTGCGAGATATAAACTCAATTGTATATTATAAAATCAGAATTGCGATAATGAATTTTTCTCGCAATTATGTGTTAGAATTTTTCACAGTTGAGACTTCAGTTGACATCTTTTCTCAGAATTGTGAGATATAAACTCCCAGTTGTGAGTTTTAAAGTGCAACTCTAAGAAAAATAATACTTTATAGAGTTTATATCTCACATTTCTGACTTTAAAGCACACAATTGCGACTTTATATCTGCAAATTGCCTTCTCAATTCTGAGAAAACAATTCAGAATTTTGAAAAATATCAAAAATCACACAGTTGCGACTTTAAATCATGCAATTCTGAAAAGTCAGAATTGTGGGGTGTAAACTTGCAATTGTAAGGAAAAAAGTCTGAATTGTCAGATAAAAAGTCACATTTAGCTTTATTTTTCATTCTGTGGTGGAAACAAGCTTCCATAGTTTGGAGATCATGAGCATTCAGCAAAAGGTCACCCAGTTCACCCACGCCGTTCGTGGTCCATTGCGTAAAGTTGTTTGTGGTGTTATCATCTCATTGTTGTTGTGCATTTTAGCCAGCAACTTGCTTTTGTTTAGTTTCACATTTGCCTCATTTCAGAATGTCTTATTTGTTACATTTTGCACTTTTGTATTGTACCTTTGTTTCTCACGATTGTAAGCTTGTGGAAACCTGATTGATTGCTGTTTAAAAATATTTTAATACATTTAAGCACTAGAATTTGTTCAGCTGAGCGCTTTAATATTTCATTAAAAGATCCTGGAATAAAACTAAATAGTTTTCCACTCCTCTAAGACCGTCATATCTGACTCGGTGTCCATCACAGTATTCACAAAAGATGTTAATGAATGATGATTTTACAGACACGGACCTACTGTAATACAAATCAAAATGAGTAACTGTAAAAATTGGGTTTTAATTGTTATTTTATGATCTGTTTGTATTTTTGTCGTTGCAAATATGATCTCACAATATACATTTCTATTGACAACTAGTCAGTCATGTATTTCACTGTAATAGTGTAGTTTTATTACACCTGCAGGGTACATGTACAAAGAGTTAGAATAAAATAGAAAACAATGACAGTTATACATTAAATGCATTTTCAGATTTCATTCACACCACAAATGTTTGACAGGCCTCTTTCAACAAAATATTTACGATGCACCACAGAATAAAATAAACTCTGAGACATTAAAAAACCCAAATCGGTCAACTTGTATATGCAAAAACCAAATTATAAGCAGTTGTTTCGCAACATACACAGGATCGTTCTCCATGTCATAAACAGCAGGTGTCTGGTGATTTTACAATTGTGCCATTTTAAGAAAACCTTTTTGTATTTGTATACACCACAATTTACATCATATTACATTGTTTTCACACTCGATGGATAAGTCACACATAGTTTTTTGAAGGTTTGGGAGAAACGAATATAAACTTCTGCTGAACTGTGGTCACAGTGTATTTGCTCAACAGAAAAATACAAGAAAGCATTTTAAAAGTCAGTCTATTATGTTATAACATTATATCAGGTAAACTGGAACCACATAGTTCATGATATTACACATGGGAAAGAAATAAATATTTCTTTCACGTCTATCAATGCATTTACTCGTGTAAAAATCAGTTTAAAAAAATGTTTCGACTGCTAATAAACAAGAGTGTAAACAAATTGACAAGAAGAAAAAAAAAGAGACTAGTTTCAGATTTTAAATGATGATTTCGTTTGACAGGGACAGATTACAATCGCTGGAGCAATTTGAACATCTGTTAACATCTAAACTTACTGTGGCTGTGTTTATGAGCTGCCTTACACTAAAAGCCTGAAACCACACCTATATTTCCTTGAACTTTATCAAATAAACAGATCACGTTATGTTAAAAAAAGAACAAAATCTCACTTTAATGAGCAATATGCATGTAATGTGTCTGTGAATCGTGATTATGGATTCCAAAACACCAGCATATGAGAAGCAACCATTACCATTTTTTTAAGAAATAGTAAGAAAAATAAGTCTTGCAATATCAGATGTTCAGATGCTATCGTATTAATAAAAGCAGGTGTAACACACTGCCTATATGTGCAGATAATAGCTAGAATGTTTAAATATCGCAAACAGAAAGCTGCTTTTCCAATGTGTATACAGCAGCAACAAAGACAAAATCTTAGTTATCATAAAAGGAAAAACAATAAATTAGTGAACATGCTCGTTCGATACATCAATACCAAATAGATACAGCAATCAATATAGCCAAGATATATCCATCTTCCTTCGGTATACAAAATAAAAACAGAAACCGGTTCAAAGACAAAGCCTTGAGAGTTTTAGAGTGTTTCTTGGTTGAATCATACATGTTTTTTAGCTTTAGCCCTGAAAGTAAGTAACATACTTGGTCAAAATAATATACAGAACATGGAATATATTAGTCTGCACCTTTTAGTCATGAATATGCGTTACATTCAGCTTTGTTGGAGTATTGACCGAACTTCATAAAGTCTTCCCTGGGTGGAATGTTCCGATCTGACAACTTTAGAAAATGGAAGAGAATAGAGAGGTCGCTGTTGTTGGCAAGTGTGTTCTCTTCTAGGATTTGTTGACGTCTCTGACCTTTTGGATTTCCTGTTAGAGGAAGAGAAATATTTTCACATGAGACTAGGTGTTATACAGATGAGGGAAGACGCGAGGGGGATTTTTAAATGATGTAAAAGGATGTAATGGTATGCCAAATTTTGCAGTACTCTGGGATTTTACATACAGGTGGTGTCTGTGTATTAGATTTCCATTATTATACATTCAATTATGTTCAGAAATGTCTAAATTCTCCATTAATTTAACTGTCAGTCAACCCAGAATCCCCCAAGCTTGGGTTTGGGTGGCTGTTATAGACGGGACTAATCAGAGCAACATCAAAGATCACAGCATGTTGTTACAAAACACAGAAGATAGAAAGTAGTAGGGTTGTCACGGTACCAACATTACAGTAATCAGTACCAATACCGGTTCTCAGTACCAGAGCAAAAACTGTTAAATTAAGTACTTGACCAATGGACGAGTCAAAATGCGACAATTGTTTTTATCACTGTCAATCATTTCAATTTCCGATTCAAACGCATATTTAAATACAGCTGTCAATCCAGAAACTTTACAGTGTGAAAAACTTTTTCTTCAGATTGTGAATAGGTGTAATAAACAGAAAGCAAGAGAAGAGCCTCCCTTTATGATCACTAAAGCTGAATTCTGCACTCTCGCGATTCTACAATCAATCACTTGTAAATTACATGGTTTACACTTTGTTGGTTATAAGGAAAGGACTCGGGTTGAACAAAACAAAACCTTGTGCGGTTTCAGCGGTGTTTATTGGATCTTGACTAACTAGCACCTCTGATTGGCTATTGCGTTCATGCTTTCAACATAAAAGATTGGGCGACAATTACGCTTGTAAAACACGCCGTAAATAGAAACCTTTGAGGCTCAGAGAAACTAACACGAACGTGAGAGTTTGAAAGCGGATATCAAATATACTCCTCTACACCAATAAGCTGGTATGTGGTGGGCGTTCTGGTGCAACATGGCTGCCGTCGCGTCATTCAGAGTCTCATCTCACATTCTTTTTAAAAGATTATCTTTTCGTGGGCGAGGTTAAAGCACATGACCAGACGATCTACGGGACAAAGTGTGGTTTGACCCCCTCTATCCACAAGTTTCCTACGCCCCATGAGGCCTTGCGTCAAAAGTGGGTGCGACTTCCGGTTGGAAGTAAACAAAGCGCTATTTGACATGCTTGACACTCGTTCATTCAACAGTTGACAGTCATTCAAGTTATAGCGATCCAAACTAGCTAACGATGTGGGAACACAACCTCAACGAAATTCAAAAGGGTGAAATAACAGTACCTTTACCCTCCGCAGTAGTTGATTGGGAGTATTATAATAACATTATTAATAATCAATAATCATCAAGGCACGGTGACAGACAGTTGTGCGAGCTGGCAAACAATTAAAATAAAAAATACACACTTAGTCATTGTGCTTTGGAGTTTATTCAAAATTATAAATGAATGTGCTGCTTGAATACATTAACTGGCACATTTGGTATTCTGTCAACTCAGGCTTTGATCCTGAGTTTAGCTGTAACATCAGTAGAGAACAGCCAATCACATGCTGATAGAGTTTATAGAATATTAAGAATTTAAACAAATGTACACACAGGGTTTCTGCAGGTATCTTCAAATGAAATTTAATGCCTTTTTAATGCCTTTTTAATGCCATTTAAAAAAAAAATAATGCCATACACGACCCATGACTAACCACGGATATATATATATATATATATTAGGGGTGTAACGGTACACAAAAATCTCGGTTCGGTACGCACCTCGGTTGTAAAGTCACGGTTCGGTACATTTTCGATACAGCAAAAAGAAAGAAATGCCAGAGAAATTTCCTATTTGTTTAAAGAAAAAATATTTTTAAATAAGTGTGAGTTTTCCTAGATCTTGAAACTTTCAGGTTTATAAATGGGGGTCATCTTTGAAGGATGAACAAATAATGTTTTGGTCATCACGTTAAAAATAACATTTAAATATATATTTATTTATATAATATTTGAATTTTGAAGTGCTGGAAAAAGATGTGTGAAGTACTTGAAAGCATTTCACCATTCCAGCCAAACTGCTTCCAGTTAGTGTTACTATATTAAACCCATGGTGAATGTTGCTGGTCTGTGGACGTAAAGTACTAGTTCATTCACAGCACAATGTTTCTCCTGGTTTCCATGACAGCGCTGTTTGATCTAAGAGAGATCTACGGTTAATAACGGAGAAATGTGAATGTATCTCACTAGATCTCGCAGCGATGTTATTACCTCAGTGGAGAATTCAAATGTTTTCTTTACCGGATCTCTTAGCGCTGTGAAGTAACAGTGTTGCTTGGTCGAGATCGGCTCGCGCTGCATAGATGTTGCTGGTCCGAACTGATAAACGATCCGTGAAGCACATAACGAGTAGCGCAGTTTCGTTCTGCTTTCATTACCCTTGCCATTTGATGTTGCGCAACGTTGTGTTGGCCGCGTCAGCACGAATTTTGCTGGCAGGAAAAATGGTCCAAGCAATCGTTCGGTTTGTATGCGTACCGAACCGGAAGCCTAAAATACAAATTATTAATTATGAAGGCTATATTCAAATAAATTTGTATAAAATTCTCTTCAAAACTATAAAAAAAAATTAATGCCTGTAAGAATCAAATTTAATGCTTTTTAATGCCTTTTAAGGCCTTAATTTTCGCAAAATCCATTTAATGACTTTTAATGCTTTTTAATGCCCCGCGGAAACCCTGTACACAGGAAGATTCGTCGTCTTTTGGGAGGTGATGGAAACTACAGTCGTTGGCAGGACCAGAGACGGGTCCTTACTGTGATTTCGTTTTCAGCTTATGTTCAAAACAATCACGTTTAAGCCACTGAATTAGTTTAGTCCGGTTATACATACAACCGCGAACAGCACATGTTGTCCCTGAGCTCCGTAACGACATCTCTCATAAAGATTTGCGTCTTTAAATAGTAAAATAATTCTCCGAAAAACAGCTAGCCTCTTCGCTAACTAACACACAAAATACCATTGGAATGCTACTTCCGCCGCCTCACCGGAAGTTTCACCCACTTTATTTTTTACAGGAGCGCCCCTCGGAAACTTGTGGATAGGCGCACATTACCAACGCTTTAAAAAAAAAAAATTTCGCCATTGACTTTAGACCACGAGCGAGTTGCATAAACTGCTAAGTTAGTCATCCAATTTTTTCTTCAAGACAGTTCATAACTTTTTAAAGTTAGTTACATAAAAACGTACAAAGGTCTAATTTGATACCGAACAGCAAGACTGATTACCCCTAACTAAATGCTAGTTGGTCAAACTAGTTCTTAAGACACTGTCTTAACATAATGGCTATGTTTATGCAACTGGCCCCAGGTTTCAGTTGGTCAATGTCTCAGTCTATTCCAGTCGGATCAAAATAGCAACGCACCAACAATGCGCCTGAACACAACGGATCCCCCCTCGATTTCAGACTAGCAGCCCATGGGCTAATAAATGGGCGCAAATGCATTTTCCATTTAAACAATGTGGCGCAGGATGAGAAAATGATAACTGCGTCGGGCTGAAACTAGCAAAAAGCACTTGTGTCGCCCATGATGCCCCACTGCACCGGCTGTATGATAGGGCCCTGTGTGTTGATCAGACGGGTGTCTACTAAAAATTATATTATTCAAATAGTTATTAACAATGCACCCTAATACTGTGAAATACTTGTGAAAATGTTTGTACCGTGACAGTCAAAATCTCATACCATTACACTCCGAGTGATGAACATTTTACCTTGAGAAGAGCATCTTTTAATTTCCCATATGCTGTGTCAAGATCATCATTGACAATGATCACATCAAATAATCCAGGCTCTTTACCTGAAAGATGGATAAATAACGGTTAGCATGCTATTCTAGATGTGAAAAAAATTATATATTATAATATAGGAACGGATACCTACTTATTTCCACGTCCACTTTGGCTGCATGTAAACGTTTCTGTAGACTTTCCTCAGATTCAGTTTTTCTGTCCCTTAATCTTTTTTCCTAAAATAAATAAAGTTATATAATTGAGATTAAAACGAAGACATGTAAACATAATATTTGGAGAGAGAGAGAGAGAGAGCATTCATTTGTATTTCTTACCAGGATGTCCATTGACGGGGCCTGGATGGACACATAGATGGGGTTGAGATCAGTCCTCTTGATGTTCCTCACTCCCTGCATGTCAATGTCCAAAATGCAAATCAAATTTTTGCCCTGAACAGCCTGTACAGCTGCTTTACTGTGAAGAGGACAAAAGTGAGGATAGTTAGAATCAGCATACATATTCCTAAAGTTTGAATATGAGGACAAGCCTGTTAAGTTATAGACATTCAATAAGAACAAGCTCTTATAAGTGGGATTGTATCAGTGGTTTCAAAAGAAGGATGTCAGTTAAATGTCTCTTCAAACAAGACTTTCCAAAAGGGCTGTACCTTGTTCCATACATGTTCCCTGAAAATTCGGCATTTTCAACAAATTCCCCATTTGCTATTGCTGCCTGCATAACTTCCCTGGTAACGTAATGATAATCTGAAAGAAAAAGAAGACTTTCTCAGAAGCTGCGTCACTCATCGACTGGCTTTCAAAAATTATGTTGTTTTTGGAGTCTCCTACAACAGGCTTACATGCATCAAATGTAAAAATACACTTTTAATTTTCTCATAATATAATTTCCCATCACCACATTTTCAATGATTCTCAATCGACTCGTCTAATGCTTCAGTCTCTTTAAATCCCTTGTTTCCGCAAGCTACTCTGCTCTGATTGGCCAGATGGCCTGAACGCTTAGAAACATAATGGCCGTTCCCATTAACTTCAGCTCCGAAGGCTTCCTAAAGCTCAGTGATTGAACTGTAAAGACCGTAAAGGCCTGTTCATGAATTTCGCGTGCGTTATTCGCCGACGTTTAACGCCTCATGACTAAACAAAGGGCGCCAATGTGAGTGTGCACACCGACGCGTAAAATGCCACTCGTAAAAGCGTCATTTAAAAAAAACTTAAAAAAAAAACGCCTTGGGCAAATGGGCGCCATCTAATGTCATGGAATGAATTTGCATGTTCACTCGGCTCATCGTCAGCGAAAATCGCTTGGGTGTGAACAAAAAAAACGTGTTGAAAAAATGCTGGCGAATAACGCGCGCTGATACTTGTCCCGGTGTGGACGGGCCGAATACGATGGTGTAGATTTTAGTTTATCAATCCAAGCGTGAGTTACGATGATGAAACATTGGAAGAACTAATTATTCATCCCGAACCTTCATCGCAAGGAACACCCAGTAGAAAATAATACATCAATAGTTAATCATTCTTACAGGTTGTGATTCTGATAAGCAAATTGGTTCAATGATACTGTTGTATCGCTGTGGTAATTTGAACCACTGACTCTTCACATCCTCATCCTTTGGAGGTTTGTGTAGAGCAGAACACATCATCTACTCGACATGTACATAACACGAACCAGCTACAGTGTTTGAGGAGGCTCAGATTAGCCACGTTCACGGACAGCTAATCAAGACCATAGATGGCATTACGCAAAAGTGTTACTGCGTTACGTATGAAGGAAGTGAGACTGGGATTCGTTTAGGCGGTTCAGAGCCAAAGCTTTCTTTTCTTTCAAACAGCTTTATTACGATACAAAAGCATAATAGGGACACTTAGATTTGATTCTGTTTGACTACCAACTGAAATAACTAGATATTTATGTAATGAAAATTATGTTTTCTAATAACAAGGCTTGTAGTTCAATTTTATTTTGGGTTTTGAGGATAATGCAAAAGATATTGTCAGAAAAATTTTGTTCTCTTTACCACTCGAGATCAAAAGGCTAACCTTTGCCGTTCTCCTCTCCTGGACGGGGGCTTCGCGTTGTATCTGGGAAAAAAGACCAATCTTAATTAAGAAAATTGAAAGTCCTCCTGTGGTGAACGTCAAGTTTTTAATATGCTTTCAGACAAACCTGGTGTAAATTCATAAGTTAACACCATTTCTGAGTCTCAAGAGAACCATATTATCCAGGTGTATTTTTGTGTTGATATGATAATGTTGTACATTTAGCAATATAGCAGGTGAATTGTGTATATGATGTATATTACAATGTTATGATGAACTACATGCCTTTCTCCACTGACGTTCTTAGTTGTTCAACGTATTTCTGCTGCTGTTTTTTAGTAAGCAGCATAGCTGACCATCAGCACTTGTACTTCGGTCACACATTATAGTAAGTGACTTACGGGATACGCTGAAGCCAAATACACCATCAAACTCCTTGAGCAGTTTCTTTAGCAGAGTGCTTTTCCCAGCCCCGGAGGGCCCACTCATCACCACAGGCCGCGGTCCAGCCATCGCTGCAAACACACCACAGACAGAGAGGAAGAAAGAAAGAGGCTTTCAGAAACATCCAAGAAGAAATTCACTTTGACAGAGTAATGATGCTGAAAATTCAGCTTTCCATCATAGGAGTAAATTACATTTGAAAGGTGCAGTGTGTAATTTTATTGGCAGCTAGTGGTGAGGTTGCAAATATGTTCCAAAACATATATGTTTATATAAACAGTTAATTCTTCCAAACTTTTGTCCGGTAGTGTAGTGACGACTTAAGACGAGACGGCAGGCAAAAACAGATTTTTCATGCAGTGATCAGTTTTGAGATTTTGGGCAAGTTTACTCCTTCAATGTGTTCTTTCACGCTGTTAAAATGTAATAAAATAAACATCTTAATGTAAATTTTCAATGTTTTCTTTATGTTTACTTCCGTTTCTCCCGAATTTACCAAGAAGTTAGCATTCCAACAGGACCAGTATCGTTGTAAAGCTCTGAGTCTCCTGCACAATGCTCTTGTAACCCAAATATGGGCATCTCCTTTCAATCAGTAACCAAGGAAGAATGTCCAAGGGTGATTTAAAACTAATGACAAAATCTCATTGGCTACTGCTGGTTTCTGCTAGCGTGATTCGCTCAGACGCACCACGTGGTGTACTCTGCCAATGTTAATTCATCGAGTTGCTGCAGTTGTAGGCCTTATATGACTGCCATGTTATTAAATAATCAGTTTTCATGAGCTTGAAATAGTATTACTATAAGGGCCTGAGCATTTATTCTGTTTTTGTGCATTTTTATGTATTAAGAAATGTATTAAGTTCCCTTCTTGAATCTTTAAATGCCTTTTTCTCAAAATGATTTTTTTTGTCATTCTCCAGTACAAACATCTCAGCCTATGTAGCACCAATGTACAGTTATACTTTCCAGTTATACACCAAGCAGGATTCTGAAGATACTTTCAGAGAGATTTGTTAATAAATCAGTCCTGGCCTGATTTATGTGACATTTTAAGCAACATAAAAAATATATTAAGGCTATGGACAGTATATTTTGATTTCCTAGGTAATGAAAGCACATATCCTGAAATCCCTCTGAAAAAAAAAATTATCATGTTCAGTTCTATCTACCGAAAATCTATGCAAATTTGCGCAATATACTTGTGTAAGTAATCAGCTGAGGAAGTTTCATGGTGATATCTATTATTTAAAAATTTTGCCGTATTCACCTGTAGTGCCCCGCCTTAATATCTAAATCATGTCTCAACATGTTCCAACAGGACTGAAGCACAACAGCTCATTAGCTCGAGTTTCAGAGGAGTCATTTCACTAAGGACATTTTAATTACTACGACAGTGGAAAATGACAGATCCTGTATTGTGCCATGTTTCCGCGAATGATATTGTATCTTGATAAAACATAAGTACTTTAATGTTGTAAAAAATAAACAATTTGTTCTGTTAGATGTGTCTGACTACTTTTTGTATGTTGTATAATTATATCTCTAGGAAACAATGATATATTTACAAAAAAACTATTTTAGAAGGGCCTCATTGATTAATTTTGCCTGGGGCCCCCACTCACTGTTGGTTCGCCTCTGCCGCGGAGGAGGTAACCTCCCCAATACTCACACAATGTTCACACTGTCAGTCCAAATCAGATTATTTGTGTGTCTGTCTGATTGGAATCTGATCTAAAATGATTGACTGTCCACACTGTGTATAGCAACTGTTCAGATCCGATTTGTGTGTCCTATGGCACTTTCGTTTCGTATTCGTATTATACCAGAATATCTGCATTGGTTTCTATGGCACCACTACGCCAACGCCAACAACAACAACATGGAGGGACTTCATGCAAAACAGATCTACAACATGAATTTTACTGTTCACATTTGCTAAATCTGATCGGATTCCAAACGGATACACAAATAATCGGATTTGGACTGACATTGTGAATGAAACCCGAACGGAATGGACCAGTTGTCACAGAAATTTGACTAAAAAAGCCCAGTTTATTTAATTTTGCACAAATGCTGCGCGAATCACCGTATACTGCATTTGCGTGACCCTTTCTTATCCGGACGTCAATAAAATTCTATTGAGAATTTTCTATTTTAAAACGCAATGAAGAAAGTCAAAGGATTTAAAACAGCAACGTACAAAAAAAAAAAAAAAAAAAAAAAAAAAAAAAAAAAAACATGAAAAGAGGAGAACATCATCTTACACCAAGTTAAATTAGAAAGCTTTTAAACTACGTACTCATGACCATCCTTACTAGAATTTATCACGTTTCATTCTATTTCCTGTGGTTAATTTTGACAAACTAGACTTTCTAATAGATAATCTTTTAAGGGAATAGATTTTTTCCAACTTTGTGGCTATATCTCATATCCACTTCCAGTTATTTCTACTTGTACAAAAAAAGCTTGTCTGACCCTATTATTTTAATGCATTGTCATAATTGTAATCACTAGTTTGTAGAGCAAAAAGTTACACCATGCACTGTAATCCTTTTCATTATTTCCATATAGTGGCTAATGAACCGGAAGTCTCACACATTCACAGAAAATAGCTTACTTTCGTGTTGAATAATAAGGTGGATAGATTAAAAAAAGAGACAAAATTCTTGAATTATTGACCAAACATTCAGTGTCCCCTATGAGTAAAATGTGTTCTCTTCAGTTCTTACGATGACTGACAGGAAAAACCAGACCTACTGTACCTAAATTTCCAAGCCAAAGTTGTTCCAAACCTGTATGAGTTTCTTTGTTCTGTAACAAGATATTTTAAAGTTACTAACATTCTTCAAAATATCTTCCGTTGTGTTCAGCAGAAGAAAGAAATTCATACAGGTTTACAACAACTTGAGGGTGAGTAAATGATGACAGAATTTTCATTTTGAACTATGAATTGAACTAAGAGCCTGATGAATTGATAAAAAGTAGGAAATAAACAATTTCCATATAAGAAAATGTTAAATGACGTAAGTTTGACTTCCCATGGCACTTTGAGTCAGTTGTTTTTCCATTCATGTTAGTCCACAGTGTATTAATTAATGTTAAGAAACACAACTTTTGATTTGAATGATATATTAGTAAAATGTTGAAATTAACATCAAGATTAATAAATGCTGTAGAAGTATTGTTCATATTAACTAATGTTAGCATATTAAACATTAAAGCAGCTGACATGATAATGATAATGTAAATTATGAAATTTTGCTCTTAAGGCTTAGGTTTATCAGGTTTATAATATTTAAGTATTAAAACAATATTACAGTACATTAATAACAAGTCAATTTACATCACAATTTGTATCGCTTACCTTGCTCAAATGTTCAAAAGGAAACACGCACAACACTAAACTGAACGCGCGTGTGTGTGTGTGTGCTTTCTGATAATATCCTGCTCCAATCAGCTCACTGGAAGCCAAACCAGTCACAAGTTACTGTATCAACATCACACCAGACTGACTCAGAAACGCATCTGATTCTACCAAGTGCTTACGATAACAAAAACTACAGTACTAACATTGACTTGTTTAATCTACCGAATTATTCAAATTTGAATACAATTTAAATGATATATTTTAGCTATGAATCTAAATCTCACAAAAACATGTCCAGGTCAGCATTTACGCCATTTTAAAATCAAAAGAACAATTATTCTGAATAAAGAAATGTAATTTTTTTTTGTCTATTTGGACATTTCGGACATAATTGTTTTTTTTTATTGATATTTTTCTTGTCATAACTACACCTTCCTGAAAATGTTCATTACCATAGACTATATTATCTTTGGCACACATGTATTGATTCGTGTGTGAAATATGTACAAATGTTTTCACAAAACAATCACGATTCATTACTTTATTTAATTTATTATACAATTACGTTTTGTTTTTTTTAGAAACAAACAAAATCACGTGTGCAAAAATCACATACTCTGGGTGGCCTAATAATCATTTTAAAGGAATAGTTCGCTTAATTTAAATTCTGTCTTAATTTACTCACCCTCTAGTTGTTTCAAACATGTATAAATCTCTCTCTTGTTGAACACCAAAGACGATGTTTTGAAGAATGTGGGTGAAGTCAATGGAGTCCATCAATTGTTTGGTTACCATTTATTCATACAGGTTTGAAACAACTTGAGGGTGAGTAAATGATGACAGAATGCTCATTTTTAAGTGAATTATTTGAAGAGTTCAGATGCAAAAGCCTCTAAATGCCATTTGCAATTTTCTTCTAAAATGACCATTTTTATCAAGCTTGTATATTTAAGTTCAGTAATTTCACTTAAATGACAATTAATAGGTAATCTTCATTGCCATTTAAGTGAAATCACTGAACTTAAATATACAAGCTTGATAAAAATGATCATTTTAGAAGAAAATTTCAAATGGCACTTAGAGGCTTTTGCATCTGAACTCTTCATTTCTAAGAGGTAAATTCATATATATATATAGTGTGGGTCTTTAGAAAATATATTTATGTTTGAACTGGTTTTGAGGATGGTGCACTTGATCTTTCAGGCATCTTTCGAGAGTGTAACGAGTGTCATACATTTACGTCAGAAAGCATATCTGACGATTGAAATCATAATTGACGATTGATCAAAATTGACCCCATTTACTTTGTTCACACACATTACTACTCTTGTGGTTAACAATTAATCTGTGCAAGATAATATCCAGAAACTTTTTTTTTTTTTTGTGGTAATCTTTAATCAAAATCTGAAGATTTGCATTCTCTCTGGAATGGCGTTTCTTCTCTGATGACGTTAGTTTGGAAAAAGGAAATAAGTCAAAACAAATAAGTTGGAAATAAGTCACAACACTTCAAGTAAAGTGTTGGAAATACAGCAAAACACTGAAGTCGGTTGGAACATCCGGTTCACAGGGAGTTTGAACTTTAAAGGGGTGATGAACTGAGAAATCAAATTTTCCTTGAGCTTTTGACATCCAAGAGGTCATCATATTATAAGAATATTCTGTAAGTTTCAGAACTAAAAACATCCTTGTTAGTCCAATAAAAGATTTTATTGACACCAGCCTCAGCAAACGACTCATTTTTAAAAGTGGGGAACTATGACGACAAAGAGGATAAAACACCACCCCCGCAGAAGAAGATCAACACCTACTTCAACACTGCCGCTTTAGCCCAGCCCACCGATTCGCACATTACACGCATAGCTAAATGATGACAAACTGAATGATAAGCTAAATGATGGCCTACCTCATGATGACAAACCGGATCGAGCAATACAAAATATTGTGCAGTACCTGGTTGTGGAAGAAGACAGTGGCTGCATAAGCTTCCTCTGGATTCCAATAGGACTGCACGGATAAACTTTATTTTTAATGACGTTCCAGCTGATGAGGGTAAAACATCGTCTCTCTGTTCGCTTCCTTTCACTAAGGATTGTTTTGTAAACAAGACTGGATTTGCAACCGATTAAGAGTAAAGAACAACGGTGCTGTGCCGGACATGTATGGGCGAATCATTCCGGTTGCCATTTTACAACATTGGACGTTTTCAAAATAATTTCCCCCACGTGCATCGACGGGTGAGTTGAAACTCATTATAATATGCAAAACTGTTATCCACTCACAGCAGTGGGCATTTACTTCCAAGTCTTCAATGCGAGACGCCCGAGCGTTTTTCAGGTAGGCTCAAAACTTTGGTACAAAAGCCTATTATATATTCATTTTGATGTTTTTGAATGCAAAAACCAAGCGAACGTCATAAGTTGACCTCAGACAACAATATAATCAAATTTAAAAAGCCAGTTCATGACCCCTATAAATGGAGATGATACGGGCAGGTTTTATGCCATATAACTAACCTTGGGCATGCAGTCGCTCATTTAGAAAACGCCAAATTCATTAACATCAGAACAACAAGGTTAAGAACAAATCCATGTGCGCACAAATTAGGTGAATTCCATCAATTATTAGTGAATGACACCCATTAAGCTCTCATTGAAAGTGACATGTGAAGACCAAGTAACCCATACTTGGAATTTGACCTCTCCATTTAACCCATCCAAGTCAGTGCGCGCACACACACACACACACAGCAAACCGTGGACACACACACGGAGCACTGAGCAACCATTTTTTGCTGTGGCGCCTGGGGTACGATTGGAGGTTAGGTGCTGATATTGAGAATCGAACCCGCAACCTTTGGGTTACCAGTCTGACTCTCTATTAACCGTTACGCCACGTTTCACACTCCACACATTCTCAATGGTTGTTCTCATTAAAATGTCTTCACTTTAATTAAGTATTTGTTAATGCACCACGTAGAGGGAGAGTAATAATGATAGTTTAAATTTTTGGGTGAACCATCCCTTTAAGCTAATCAACCTTTTAAAAATAACTACAAAATAAGTCACTTTTTACTTTTGCAAGTAAATTTAAAAGGACTAGGCATCCAAATGGAGAAATCCTAAAATGGCATCTTTAAATTGAAAATAGCCTCGAGTCTGAAGTGACGTCCCAAAGCAAACGGCTGTGAGGGACAGAAGGCACTTGAAATCCTAACAGCTCCTTTTCAGTGTCAAAACCAGAGCCACCGCTCACAAGAGAACGTTTACAATAGACACACAGTGAATTCAAGCAAGTTCACACTTTCACTTATGTGTCTCTCCACAAGTGATGCAAGCCCTCAGATTCCCTAAAAAGTAAAAGCCTCTCCTATAATACAACTAAATATAAAACAGTGTTAACCACAACATGACACCTTGTGCTATTATGTAAAATTTCTATTCAATAATTCAATTCAATAGGGACCCTGAACAAAATCTACACTGCTGCATAATTCACTACAGCTGGACGCTCCACTAGGTTAAACTGCAGAACAGCAGTAATCACAGGAAAAACACTTGACAATGGTCATAAAACAGGCCACATCCCAAGCTTTCCTCCCTATCATATAATAACTCAGCTTCAATTCAGTGCACTACACAACATTTTTTCCAACCTCTCCCATTACAAACTGATGTCTTGAAATAAATGAGCTCCACGTGTGACATCCACGTTTTAATGCAAGTCATATGGTGCAACCCCTTGCCATGAGACCAGTTTGGGCTGGTGCTTAATGACAAGTCACGAGACGAGTGGGTTCTTCTCAATACTCAAACTCCTCCATCCACTGACCCAGAAAGCCTTTTCTAACTGCACTGTGAGAAACGAGGAGTGAGGATTCTTCCAGAGGCGCTAAGAAAAGCCATTGCCATTGAAAAACCTCACACATGTATGAATTCTACTCCTTCACAACACAATGATTTTAACTTACGTTTTACCTTCGCATTGGGGTGAGCGACCTGACGATTTTATACTGTGATCGATCTTAAAGAGGTCCACGATCTACCTTTTAAGCAAATTGTCAATAAAAATGGAGAAAAATATTCTAAAAGTGGAAATAAAGTGTTTAACATGCGTTTAATAAAGTGTTTATCCGTTAGGGAGGGCTTTATTGTCCCAATAAGGGGGCATCCATTTAATCATTTTATTCATTTACACTATAGCCTGTTAATGAAGCTCTGAAGAGTGAACAGAGGTGCAAATGCGCAGTAATGCGAGTGACAAAATGTCCATCTTGGCGAGTATTTACATAAAGACTCTCAGTTATGTCTTAAGTGAATAAACAGTTGAGAAAGAAATTGGATCTGTGTCATTATATAAGATCCATGCATTCGTTCTCAAAACCTAACCCTGCTGCTGTCTGTGTCAATAAATACTACCTTGGGGAGTTTAATTACCGTTTTGACAACTGATTGTTAAATGCAATACTGTGTTTTAGATTGTGCAAATATAGAAGTCCTTAGGCTTGTTCCAATCTGGATATTATCAATAATACATTGGGAAGATCGCGATTTAGATTGTGATATGAAATTTTGGGAACATCACTACCTTTGCAATTTTAAATAAAGTGCATTTCACATATTTCAAAAGGGCTTCTCGCTTTATACGAATGTCTTAAACCACCAAACCTCAACATGAGGACAGATCCTTTGGGCGCAGCTGATGACATTTTCAAGTGATCAAGACTACTCCAATTTACAAAGAAGCTGTGTTTTGATTTCTCAGTTTCATTCTCTGCATCCTTTCCTAACATTGAGCAGAGCCGGGAAGTAAAGGATGCACATTTAAAGAGATTAAACCCAGTGTCAAAAAACACTCCTGTCTTCTTCCACATTTTTACCCGCCTAGCCTTTTGAATGTTAGAAGTGCTGACTGAAAAATCTGATATTTCATTATTTATAGATCTAACTCTTGCTTTAATTTCAAGCAAATTCAGGTATTTTTTTTATTTTTTTTTTCAATTAGGTTTTTCTCAGATGTTAGGCTGATAATGCCCCGTATTAGTCATTTGTGTTTATTGCATTACAAAAATGGAAACCAGAAAAGTTTTCACTTATCTTTGGACCACACTGACTGTAGCTTCCATATCTTTACACAGATACAACCAAAAACCCTTAATAAACTATAAATAAATCCATCTAGGCATATGCACAACTGTATTATTATTCACATGCTCGCATATTGCATTACACATTTATAACATGCATATGACTAAATCATAACGCAGCAGGTTCACTTTGAAACACACGTACCGAACGCGATGAATAAAATCCGCTGCGAGTGTATAGAGTAAAATTAAGTTTTTAAACATCATAATGGCACTTCACAACTAATCTGCTATAACACTTGACTGAAAAGGATGATGCAACTGGCGAGGATTTAAAGAGGTAGCTCATTTCAACTCACCTGAAAAAAGCCTGGAGATAAACCTCACATACATTGGGATCAAAAGTGTTCCAAAAATAGGGAGAATGTTTTCCCACCTTAGCCTAAAATCTTCCTTTCTCGTTCAGGTGACTAACATTCGCATGAAAGCCATTACCGATGCTCGATGACGTCATCAGACGCGGACCGACTCTCCGCAGATCTTCACAACATAATCAGTGAAGCGCGCGCCGGACGGCAGATGATGTTGACATCACATTTTCTTATTCACGACACTCCTTTGTTGTTTTTGCAAGGAATCGTTTTTTGGTGACGTTGTGAATATAGCTTGTTAGACAAGATAATGTTTGTAGTTGTTAAAATGGCTCTTCGTGCTGAATTTGTTACTACTAAGTAAAGACGAAGCGGTTTCCCGGATGTTGTGGAAACCAAAGGCCTGACTCCTCTTCTACTACACGCGTGTAAAGCATCTTTCAGTGCCTTCAGGAGGCTGGAAGTGTGCTGGATATTGAGCAGAAGTCATGTTCGGCTCGTCGAGATCTGGAGGGGTGAGAGGGGGTCAGGACCAGTTCAACTGGGATGAAGTTAAAGTGGACAAACATAGAGAGAACTATCTGGGTAAGTATCGAGCTAACGTTAGCTGCTAACTCACTCTGCGCTATTATTGTGCTTAGTTTGCTATATAGCGTTATATTCAGAGAAGCATGATTTCTTGTGCCTTTTACACGCTTGAATTTAGCAATAATTGTGAAGTAGAGCTCATGTAACTGGTCTGTGATAACATTTTGTTGTTTACTACGTTAACACACGGGCGCGATAGCCTGTTCAGAAAGCTAATAACTCGTGAGGATATTGTAGCAGACTTGTGTTGAGTTTGTTTGCTTTTCTGTAAAGATATTGCTAATCCATAATATCAGCATGGTTTGTCCATGACAGACTGTCCTCTGGGAACACGTTGTTTTAGATGTTTTCTTCTGTTTAAAGTGCCCAGAAACGTTAATTGTAGTGTAAATTCAGACATTCCTACCTTTTTCCTTGGTATGATCTCTCATTACAACGCCTGTTTGTTAATGTGTTTGTATCGGACACAATTGTGGCTTTTGTTGGTGTAAGTTAGTTGACGTGTTGGCTTTCTTGTTAAAGGACCCAGAGTAACGAAACGTTCAGGCAGCGTGTAGGTTCACGAATCATACTATGGCAAAGGCTCAGCATCTGAATATTAATAAGGTCATGCTGTCATTGCTAGGTAACCGCCCCAGCGTCCTGCAGGAAACCTTCTACTGCGCATGCGTAGATCATTAATATTTCGTTGCCTTGATGACGTCAGTGAGGCCTACTGGCTAGACGTCACGCAACCTGTGCAAGAAAGCTATCTTTATCATACTAGGATTCATAATTTGATGTACCATGTGCGCATTTGACCTATCAGACCCCCAAGACATTTAACTTACAAAGTTGCTTGCTCATCTTGTCTCTATCAGTCAGGAGGGCAATATATAACTATAGATAGTTATAAACGTATTAAACTTTTAATTAAATTATATATATATATATATATATATATATATATATATATATATATATAATTAATAATATATATATATATATATATATATATTATATATATATATATATATATTTCACTTTACGTGAAATTACTGAACTTAAATATACAAGTTTGATAAAAAGCATCATTAGAAGAAAATTTCAAATGGCATTTAGAGGCTTTTGCATCTGAACTCTTCATATATATATATATATATATATATATATATTCATTCATGATGTATAATGTATAATATATATATTTATATTCATGATGTTTTGGTACATTTTCCAATAAATGTGAATCACCACATGCAAATAAATGTAATTCTTATGTTTCCTTCAATTATAATGGCCATAAATTGAACACATTACAACCAATACTACAATCAGTGTGGTGCAAATACAATTTAAATAGTTAAAATTTTCTAACAATATAATCTTTAATAATGTAATACGTATTATATTTCCGACATTACCCAATACTAAGAATGATATTTGTATGCTTTAATGAAAATGATGGGAGAAAATATTGTTAAATGTCATGAAAATCTTAATTGTTCTGATGGTCATAGGATTATATTAACTCAGGGATTTAATTATACTCAAATATAATTTCTTGTTTTTGTCTTTGGGGTAAAATATTACCCTTTCTTGACATGTTATGTAAGATTCGCCTAAGGTCTTGGGTAACACTTGTTAACTATACACGATACAGTGGACAGGATAAGTCTTGTTTGTGGACCAATTCTCACTATTAACTTGTTGTTTATTAGCTTACATAGTACTAACATATTGGCTGTTTATCAGTATTTATAAAACATATATTAATACCTTATTCTGCATGACCATATTCAATGTCCCTCAATCCTACTGGCAGTACCTAAACTTGACCACTTACTAAACTTTAAATTTGGAGCGTTTTGAAACAAAAGTCAATAGTGAATATGTTTTCCCAAAACTAAAGTGTGACCAGGTCTTGTGTCCATCTTCTTCAGGGAACTCCCTCATGGCGCCGGTTGGACGCTGGCAGAAGGGCAAGGATTTGACGTGGTATGCCCGAGATAAGAAGGGTGGCGCAACTGTGTCTAAAGAGCAGGAGATGGCAGCGGTGCGGGAGGCGGAGCACGAGGCCATGTTGGCAGCACTGTAAGTGCGCTGGATCCATCAGTGCCCTGTAAATTAAAATCTGTTTAAATCTTAATGTTTTTGTCTGTTTTAGGGGACATAAAACCATCAAAAAACAACCAACTGGTCTTACCAAAGAGGTTTGCATTTGTAAACATCCAAACATACACATTTTTAAGTATTTGCAGCATTTCCCATTGCATTTTCTGAGTCATGTTTGTCTTGCTTGCAGGATCTTGCAGATGTGTGCAGGAGGGAAGGAGAGGGGGAGGAACGGGACGTGGACCGGGTCTCTGGGCTCGGGAGCTCCAGGTAAAGCCAGTGCTGGATTTATGTTCGTTTACCGCCATTTGTGACGAGTTGGCTGGATCTCTTTCCCTGCTAAAAATACATTCTTAAAGATATAAGTTACTTATTCCACCATAATGAACCTTAATGAATGTATAATACATATTATCTGGGTTGAGCAAAATTCAAAGTGAAGAATATCTGCCTATAAAAAATGACTTTGTACACAGTGCCTTTTAGTAGGGCTGTAACAATATATCGTGTCACAAAACAAAAATCCAACAATATGTATCGTGGATGGTGACATGGTCAAAATGTATTGTGTATAATTCACCCTAAATGCAAATTACTGTGTGAGGAAAAAATGCAAGTTTACAGAGTTTTAGTGTCTTAGTACTACATTAAACTATTATATTTAATGTTGAATATAATGTATAATAATGCAATGGGGGATATTTGTGGGCCAAATGTCTGAATGTTACAGGAAAAAAGTGGCCTACATTATTTTAAATATATTTAGTCAGTGACAGGGTGCTTCTTATTTTCAGCCTCAGAATCATGAATATGTTTATTCTGATGTCTCTATTGTGCTGTGCTTTGGGTTTCCAGAACCAAGTCCAACCCTATTCATTTAGGCCATGCCCACACTAATACGTTTTCGTTTGAAAACGTATATTTTTCTCTCCGTTTTGGCCTTCCGTCCACACTGAGACGCCGTTTTAAGTCAATAAAAACGTATCGTTTGGAAAACGCTCTCCAAAGTGGATAAAGAAAGACAACAGATAATGTACTCACATTTGCTGTCCTGCGGCAAATCAGGAGAGCAGTTGCGTTTTAGACCAAACATATGGTGACTGAATGCGACATGGACACATCCGTGATGGTGAGATATTTTGCTAAATAAAATTATCCTGTTATTGTGCGATGACATTATTATTTATTTTCCCATCTGTATCATCTCAGTGAGCTTTTGTGAAGTTTCACGCATGCGCAGTAAAGTGTATGTAGAAGTTTCTCATCCACACTGAAACGTCGGAAAACACCTGAAAGCGCTAGTGTGGACGGAGAGCGTTTTTAAACGAAAACCCCGTTTTCAAATGTATCCGGATTAATGTGGACGTAGCCTTACACCCACAATGTAATACCAAATTTAGCATTTTAATCAACAATACATTTTTTTTATGAGCCTTATATCATGTCAACAATATTGTTGCATGGTATGTATAGAATCGTGACATGAGGGTATCGTTACATCCCTACCTTTTATCCCACATAGCCCAACTGCGTTCTCACCTCAAAACATGTCCTTTACCATCTCAACGACAGTGCCGAAAGCAGCCCTGAGGGTGAGGACCGCTTTATTTAAATCCTTGATCCCTGACACATTAAGCCAGAGATGTTTCTCCATCATCACTATAGCAGCCATGGACCGGCCAATCGTGCTAGAGCTAGAGATAAACCAAGGTCTTTGAGCAGATCTGCCATATTGTGCAGAGCTCCTGCCGCCCTTCCCACAATCCTCGTTGTCGTCTGTGACGTGGTTTAGAAGGTGTATCATCACCTTCAGCTGAATGTCTGGCTATACAACGAATCATAAGTTACACCAGATCATCGTGTTTGGGTCGAGCAAGGAAACCAATCTCTTAGGTCTCTCTATTTCTATGGACACCAGGTCAGTTATATCAGAATCATGGACGTGAAGTCCCACTCCACCTGAGATCCCACTGCCTCAGCAAACGCTGGTGACCTCCTTATACACCCTGCGATGTCATTGCACTGCGTTAGCCATTGTACTTGGCACAAATCTTGTTTGTGCAAGAGCCTCTCAGACACCGGGTTCTGCAAGGGCGAATCCCCATAGGAGCATCAGCCGTGGACAATGGGAATAGCCATCACACAAAAGAAGTATGACATCCGTTGTCCACTCGGTTGAGAATGTCATTGTGTGACTATGTTAACTCAATATAATACTCTGGGTTCATTGAGCATTCTGTGTGTTTGACAAATGTTAGACAAAATAAAATCACTTTTCTGTTTCAGTCTATGGAGTAGCATTAACCCTTGTGCTGCATTAGATTTTTAACACCGTTGAGTGCATTAAGGACCAAAAATGGCCAAATATTAAACATTGCCTAAAATATTATATATTATTGTTATTTTCCACTTTTACCAAGTTAAATCTTTTAACCAGCATCAGTCCTCATCATAACTACCAAAAATGTATTCAATTTCAGGATTTTAACCCTTCAATTACCAGTTTTGTTTGCGAAACCATCGATTTGTATAAGAGGAAAAAACACAAAAATTCAATTATTTTCAATAAACTAAATGCAAAGAGAAAACTTTAGATTTGGATTATCACAGTCCCACTTTGCAAAAAATCCCACTTAGCGCGTTAGAGACCAAAAATGGCCACCTATTAAACATTGCCTATTGCCTAAAATAAGGTGCATTTCCACCCATAGGGAATAAATATGTAGTGACGTCATCTGGTGGAATACACTATATAATGCAAATATAATGCTTTTGCTTCAAAATGAAAGGATGTTTGTGCAAAAATCATGTTTCATGTATTACTGACAGCCTCAGATTTAAACAACGTTTTAATGGGTTTCAATGGGCCATTTTTGGTCTTTATGGTGCTGAGTGTTACTATTTGATCTACACAGTGTGTGTTATACATATTTTGCAAAATGGCATCACATTTTTTTACATGTATCCAAAAAGTCACAATTTTGCCAAATTTCATACCATTTGCATTAAAACAGCCAAAATGGTCAAAGAAATTAAACTGCAAAAGACCAAAAATGTCCCTAATGCAGCATAAGGGTTAATGTGCTCCTCTATTTTCACCTTATTTTTGTTTATAAATCGAATGTAATAGGTGTAACATCCTGAGATTCTGCTTTTGTTCTTCATCAGGGCCGGGGCAAGAGGAATGTTGCTCTCCAAGCAAGAAAAAGAAGCTGTAAAAATGGGTTTGCCGGTTTTCACGGTATGCAGACAGAGATAATCAGTTTTTAATGCTAATTTGATTTTAAGAATGTGTCATGGCTCATATCTCAAGTAAAGCTGTCACTGACGATTATTTTTGTAATCGAGTAATCGGTCAATTATTTTGATGTCAAAACGAGTAAATGGATCATTTTTGTTGTGGTACTAAAAATAGTCCTGAGTGAACAATAGCCTTTAAAATGACTTAAAATACATACAGTACGCTACAGCCACTGTAATGTCTTGAACAAGAACATCAAACTCAGAGTGAGGGTTAACTTTTATTTTGAAATTGTGATGAACAACAAATGAACAAAACAATGATTTACGTTACAAATCTGGTCAAATGGTGCACATTGTGTTCCCAGATGAACATTGTAAGCAACCCAAACTGTCAGCGTATGCAGAGATGAAGTTTGTTAACCATACCTGATAACCAAATTACACTTTGTGTTTCATAGTGAAGTGTTGTACTGTTATTATTTACATGCGTGGAGCACATGTAGAGTGCAAAGCTTCGCTATGAAACACATAGTGTGTCAGACTTTTATGCAGCATTTACAATGAACGGACACTGGGAGAAACGTGTAACCTGCATGCATGTAAATAATAAAGCGTTGTGCTTCACTTTCAAATCTGCAGAGTATATACAGTATATATATATTTTAGTTTAATCACAGCCTTTGTGATTTCTCAATACCACTATGCTATATTATGATTTTTCAATGGTTTTTTAATATATCATGCAGCCCTAGAAAACGAATGCACCACTTCCAGTATTTCGCTGGTTAATCGACAGGATTTCTAGTATCGAGCACTCGTTTAATTGAGGAATTCTGACAGCCCTGATCTCAAGAGTCATATTACAAGCACAGTCAATCGTTACTGATCTTGAATTTATGAATTTATTTTTTGCCAGCATCATAAAGCTGACAGACCGCAAGAAGCCACTAAGACGCCGGAGGAGGCCAACAGACATGATAAAGGAGACAAAAGGTATATAGACAAGATAAAGCTGTGCAAACCCTTCAGCCGTTACTTATTCACGATACAGCACTTGCCTCGAGTACCTTATTGCTTTTATAAAACGGTTGCCACACAATATTAAAGTAAAAAACAATGTATTAGTGCAACTTTCTTGAAGTAAAATCACTAAAAGCCTTCCTTCCGCTGGAAAAAATAGTCCCTGAGCGTGAACAGCAACAACGTTCCAATGTGTAAAATGCATTAAAGTCCCCGTGAAATCAAAATTGAACCTATTTACTTTGTTAGCGCATATTACTAGTCTTGTGGTGAACAATTAATCCGTGCAAGTAAAAATATATTTAAAAAATGTTTTACCTTCGTAATCTTTAATCAAAATCTGAAAAGTTACTTCCGGTCTGGAACGGTTTCTTTTTCTGATGACGTAGGTTTCACAACTTGGGTGGGGAAACGCTTAACCACTCCCCTTAAACCGTTAGTTTGCTATGAGCGAGAGATGGAGAGGAGGAGCGCTAGAGTAAAACCCTGCCCTCTGTTCAATATTCCGTTTCACTTGGAAATACGTCACAGCACTGGAGAAAAATCTTTTGCAACTTCCGGTTCACGGGGACTTTAAAGCTCAAATAAAAACAACATAGAACCGCAGTGTTGCGCAGCGATCAATAGAACTGTTGGGTGAAGCGGTCATAGCCGTGTTTTATCGTGAATAAAGCACAGCTTTTGACCAGGTATATAGACAAGTTTTATCTATTTTATGGTTTTAAAGACTTGTTGATTTTGGCTTAAACTACCCTCTAGCTTATACACTCTTAAAACAGATGTGTTAAAAACAACACAACCTGTGTTATATCTTAACACACCTGTGTGTCTAGTTAAGGACAACACATTTTGTGTTACTTTTAACTCAACCAGTGTGTTATTGTTCTTAACACAGGGAGTGTGATTTCACTAAGTTTGCACTTTGAATTAGATTAAAATGTAGCAACTGACAAAATATTGTGTGTAAATAAGTTTTATTTACACTGGTGCACTCTTATAAAATGATTTTGTAAATAACACAACCTGTAAAAAGAGATGTTAAAAATGACACATGCTGTGTAGATTTTAACACATGTAGTGTGTGTGCTTAGGGACAACACATTTTGTGTAGATTTTAACACATGCTGTGTAGATTTTAACACATGTAGTGTGTGTGCTCAGGGACAACACATTTTGTGTAGATTTTAACACATGTTGTGTAGATTTTAACACATTTTGTAGATTTTAACACATTTAGTGTGTGTGCTCAGGGACAACACATGTTGTGTCAAATTTAACACACAACCTGTGTCGTTTCTTTACACATCTCTGTGTTCATAAGGATTACACATTTTGTGTTACGTTTAACACAACTAATGTGTTAGACAGCAGTGTGTTGTTGAAACCTTTTACACACTAATGTGTTATAGTAACACAACTTGTGTCAGATATGCGTCACATGTGACTGTAGTCGGAGAGTATTTGCCAGAGTTACTTCCCGTGTGCTTACAAAAGTGTTTGGATGAACACTGACACGTATTGGTAACTTGTGTTTATGTAGTCCAGTGATGTTTAATAGAGTTTGTTTGAACATTTGGATGTTTTAAACATCATTAATCTACATAGACAAGCTCTTATTGAAAATTAACAGAGGTTTGATGTTTCATTTCAGTTTTATTTCAAGTCACCAGAATCGTGATTAATGGCTCCTTTATTTGGGCTCTTGACCCTTTACTCTTGTTTTAGTGTTTCTCTGCCTGCTGTAACTGTATTTTAATAAAATACATCTGTTTTGGTGACAGAAAATATGATCAGATGGTTCTTGATGATGTCATAATCAGCAAGTTATGATCAAGTTTTTGAGTGTATGGATGGTGTGCTTTATTTTAATGATTTATTGTTAGTTCTGAAAGTTTTGTGAAACTACATCCAGCAATCAAAAAGTGCAGAATGACAAAAAAAGTTTAAAGCTACAGCAGAAACCAGTCAAACACAGATATGAAGAATCAGCGTATGGATCTCAATAATGGTGACAAACGAAAAGTTTCATGCCGCAATGCATGCTGGGACTTATGGATGAGCTTTATACTAGAGACATGAAGCTTTGCCACCATTGTTGAGAGTCATATGCTGATTCTTGATGTGTGTTTTTGACTAGTTTCTGATGCAGCTTTAAACTTTCTCTAAACATATTTTTTAAAGATTTATAGCATAAGGTAGCATACACCATAATATCACGTACACACTGAATATCTGTAATCAAATATAAGTGATCAAATATAAGTTATCGCTTAAACATTAAACTTATTATGCTATGTTAAAAAACATCATGTTGAAAAATGATCATTTAATGATCTTTTTCCTCAAGATAATTTCAACTTTTTCAGATGTGCAATATAAATACACAGAAACAGCAAACAGAGAAACGAATGATAAAGAGTGAAGGGTCAAGAGCCTAAATAAAGCTGACACTAATCACGATTCTAGTGACTTCAAATCAAACATTCAATGAATCGTCAACACAAAACCTGGTAATTCTCAATAAGTGTTTATGTAGACGTCTGACAGAAATAAATTGTTTGTTATAATAAATTGGTTATTAATAACAAGTGAAATCAGCATTTGAATAAAACATTGAAACAGAGGCATGATGTGATTGGCTGCCAAAAACACTAATTAATCTGAAGTTTTTTTATGAATTAAGATTTTATTTATTTATTGTAATGTATTGTTTCATTTATTTTAGAGCTTGTTATGGGATACCATATAAAATATACTACCTCTAGTTATGTTCTTAAACACAAACTTCCCTCAACCCATTAAAATTCTATCCAGTTACATTTTAACACACATTGTGTCATTGTGTTAACAACTTGTGTCAAAATACCATCAACACATGATGTGTGTTGTTTTTTAACACATCTCTTTTTAGAGTGTATATATATACAGTATATATATATATATATATATATATACATCTTCCTTTGGGCAAAAATTATGTTTAAGTTAATTGTATAGAAGAAACGTGAAAATTCATGAGTACAAAAAGGATACTGCTGACAAAAAGGCAAACTATCTAAGTTGAGAACTGATATTAATTACAGATCTGACAGCAAAAAGAAGAGTAAAAAGGAAAAGAAGAGTAAGAAGGAGAAAAAGAAGAAAAAGGAGAAGTCGAAACACCGAAGCAGAAGGGACTCTTCCGATTCGGACTCTGAAATGTACAGTAAAAGGTAAACTGTGTATATTTTTTACATTGTGTCAATGAACTACCTAAATACCATTATTTACCTTTTTGTTATAGATTATTTTACATGTAAAACTATATATGTTTTATTTAAGGTGTAATGCAGTTTCTTCACAAGAGGGCGTTGTAACACAATTTAGCTGCTTTAGTTCATCACATCTTTACATCTTTTAGTTAGTTTACTCTTTTTATTACGTAATACAGTCCTTTTGAAGACAGTGGTACTACTTTGTTTGGGTTGAAGAAAATTATCAAACTATGGTTCTGTTCAAAAACTTAGTGAGCTTCTAAGATATATAAAAAAAACTTTCTGAGTACTTTTAGATTACTTTTGATTTAACACTTTTATGGGATTATTGTGTACCATATTGATATATGAGAGAGAGAGAGAGAGAGAATTTAATATTAATTTACACCAGAGTTTCTAACTAGGGTTAGTGAAAAAACTGCAGGGAGTTTGTGAGTTGGTTTAAAAAGTATTAAAATAAGTAAATCACAAAAAAATACATTTTACAATAAATATGTTTTAGATAAAAACAATCAAAATAAAATACTTGAACACTAAAAATAGAAATATATGAATGTCAATGTGTCCATTAACAGGATTAATCAGAACATAACAGAGCTGTGAACATACACATTTGATGAAATTATTGAAAAATTAACTTAAAATTTAGAAGGGTTCAAACTCTCTGGGAATCCCTGCATTACGTGAACAAAACATTAATAAACATGAAAACAGCAATGACAATACATGGCCAAAGTCTTCCAGATTTAAAATATTTTTGTCAGAATCAATAATTATTGAAGGTCGCTGGATATGATGACAAAGACAGATCTTTATAGATGAAGACAGATGTACTTTTGTAATGTTTATTAATCTTCATAACTATTCATCTCATACAGTAGAGGCCAAAGTGATGCCTGGAGGGGATATTTGTTTTAAATAAGATGATTATATTTTATATATACATATTTAAAATATTTTAAATATGAGGAAAGATCAAAACAATAAACTTGGTTAGGGTATATATCTAATAAAAGTATTTGGCAAAAAGGCAAACTACGTCTACAGGATTTCTTTTACTATGCAAACAAAAAAAAATGCATAGAAAAACAAAAAGCTCTTAGACTACATTGAATTGAATTGTTTTGAATGCATTGACTACAACATAATTGCATATTAATATTGGTAACACTTTAAGGTAAGGGTACACGAATTATCATGAATTCATGTATAAATTAATGCATGAATTATGCATAGTACATCATCATGAATTATGATTTATTACGCATGATCATGATGTTTCCTTTGTTCACAGTTATGCCACCATTAATAGCAAATTGTTCATCAGTTTTTCAAAGGACCTAGTCCCCACTTTAGTTGAGGGGCCACACACATGATGAAGTCATTGATAGATAATGCTTAGTTAATGATGACTTGTATTTGATTTACAGAATTTGTGTTCTATGAGCTGTGATTGCTCTATTATGGTGTCTGTCCAATACAGTAGTCATCATTAATTAAGCATTAATCTATTAATGACTTCATCACAGGCTTTGATCCTGAGAGTTTAGGTGTAACATCAGTAGAGAACAGCCAATCACAAGCTGATAGAGTTTATAGAATATTAAGAATTTAAACAAATGTACACAGGAAGATTCGTCGTCTTTTGGGAGCTGATGGAAACTACAGACGTTGGCAGGATCAGAGACGGGCTCAGGATCACTCTGATTTCGTTTTCAGCTTATGTTCAAAACAATCACGTTCAAGCCACTAAATTAGTTTAGTCCGGTTATACAACCGCGAACAGCACATGTTGTCCCTGAGCTCCGTAACGACATCTCTCATAAAGATTTGCATCTTTAAATAGTAAAATAATTCTCCGAAAAACAGCTAGCCTCTTCGCTAACTAACACACAAAATACCATTGAAATGCTACTTCCGCCGCCTCACCGGAAGTTTCACCCACTTTATTTTTTACAGGAGCGCCCCTCGGAAACTTGTGGATATTTCAATGGCATCGCTGTCGAGGAGTAGTTAGCTGGTGAAGTGGATTTACTGATTGTAGAGTTAACAAAAGTTATCATGAGCATTGTAATGTTTATCATAAGCATTGTAAAGTAGATGTCTTAACAAATGTCGTCCGGGAATTTTTTTACAAGCAGTTCATTCATTACCTATGCAAGATTTCTGTGAAAATACAGACCGGAAGTCAAAAGACAACGAGCGCAATGCTGAAAAGGGGCGGGGCTACATAAGGTCTATAGGCGCTTTTCCACTGCATAGTACGGTACGGTTCGGCTCAGTACGCTTCGACTCGGCGCGGAACAGTTCGGATCGCTTTTCGTTTCCACTGCAGTAGTACCCCTTCAAAGTGTGTGGGACTGATCGTTATTTGCGCGCGCCTCTACTGCCATGACATCATCTTAAAAGCGCCACATTTTCAAACCCACAACACAGGAACAATGGAGACTATCGAGGGGATGGTGTTCCTGATTCTCGGTATGTGGTTGTTTTTAACTGCTAGACGGAAAAATGTGTTTAAAATGAGGCTGATGGCAGCAAAACAAAAATACTGATAAAAAAGTGTCTCGTGTCGTAAATCCAATGACGCTAGTAGTGACGATTCTGTCTGACCAATCAGTGATCTGCAGTGTTTCACGTCACATTTTAGTACCGGTACGGTACACTTGGAACCTCAACAGACCAGGTACCATTTAAAGCGACCTGAAGCGAACCGTACTGTACCGTACCATGCAGTGGAAAAGCACCACAAGTGAGCCGTACCGAACCGAACCGTACCGTACTATGCAGTGGAAAAGCACCTTAATGTGGACGATCCACTTCAGATCCTGGGGGTGGTGATGGCGCAATGGATAAGACACATGCCTTTGGTATGAGATCCGGGTTTGAATCCACTGTGAGACACCAATGTGTCCCTGAGCAAGACACTTAACCCCTAGTTGCTCCAGGGGTGTGCGACCTCTGACATATATAGCAATTGTAAGTCGCTTTGGATAAAAGCGTCAGCTAAATGAATAAATGTAAATGTCCCCTTACATATTTTCTATAGGAATCCCGTCTGGGCTCCGTCTGAGCCTTTCCAAAACATTCATCCGTCTTTGCTGAAGCCATACTTTGGTTGATTCAGATGTGTTTTGGATCATTGTCCTGCTGAAAGGGGAAAGTTCTCTTCATTTTCAGCTTTTGAGCAGACAACACAGGGGTCTATACCAAAATCAACTGGTACTTAGAGCCAGAGATGTAAAGAGAAGCTGAAAACCATACATTAAGTGATCAGTGACTCTTGCTTCAAAACAATGGCAGTGACATTTTAAGATATCTCAGATATAGTTCTAATGCAAGTGGACTTTAGTTAAAACCGCTCAGACATTCATTTTAGTCTGGGAAACTCCGGTTTCACAGACAAGGCTTGAGTATCTAATCTTAATAGTATGTTACTCTTACTGAATGTAGGCCCAAATATGCATTAGTCCTCAACACCTTCATTTTTTAAACACAAAATAAAACTGAACATCTCAGTATTGCAATTAATCAAGATGGACACAACAGCCTCTTAAAAGTCTACGAACAGTGAAGTCTCAGTTAAGCTTAAGTCCTCAAAAAGGGCATAAGTTCTAGTTTGGGCCTCATCAGAGGCTGCATGTTCTCATCTCATAGATGAAACGCCTGCGATTCAGCAACTACATGCTAATGAACTTGCATTCATGTACAGTAGCCTTGTTGACCGCTTTGGGCAAAAGGCACGCGATATCCCTTACGAGAAAAGTATACTTTAAATTAATTTAATGACGTATGTAAGCAATAAGGTACGAGAGGCTGTGTTGTATCATGAATAAGTAACGGCTGAAGGGCGTTATTAGGCACGACGCGAAGCGTAGTATACGATACAGCACTTGCCTCGAGTACCTTATTGCTTTTATAAAACGGTTGCCACACAATATTAAAGTAAAAAACAATGTATTAGTGCAACTTTCTTGAAGTAAAATCACTAAAAGCCTTCCTTCCGCTAGAAAAAATAGTCCCTGAGCGTGAACAGCAACAACGTTCCACTGTTTAAAATGCATGAAAGCTCAAATAAAAACGACATAGAACCGCAGTGTTGCGCAGAGATCAATAGATCCGTTGGGTGAAGCGGTCATAGCCGTGTTTTATCATGAATAAAGCACATCTCTTGACCAATCAGAATCACAGATTCGAACTAACCGTTCAAACCTAAACTAAAATAAAGTTCAAGTAAACTTTTTAAGTACAATTAACTTTATGCAGTAAGTATACTAATATCAGGGACTAAATTGGCCCACTTTTTATTATATAAAAGTATATGTTTAAGTGATCTATAAGTGTAACAGTAGTAAACTTTAAGTGCACAACTACTTTTCTCAGTTGTACTGAATAAACTTCTTTTTCGTAAGGGATAGTACCTCCAATGCCCTGTAGATGGCCGTATCGCTTCGCTTACAGCAGAGATAAACTGCTGCAGAAAAATCAGGTGCCATACAAAATGAGTAAGTAATTGCATTTGTCATTACAAATCTATTGGAGTAAAGAGTACCTATACTTGCTCAAAAAATGTAGTCGAGTAGAGAGTAAAAGTTGCCAATATCTTTGAACTATGACAAAGTACAAAGTTGCCAAAAAGATACTTAAAGGAGTCCTTTTAAAAAAAATT